TTTCTTAAAAAATCACTCACATTATCCAATAATAATGTGACAACTAACATCATTTCATCTCCATTTTTTTGATTTCCTTCTTTTTTTAGCCAACCAAACACTCTCAAACCAATTCTTCTTTTTAATAGTTTTCCATTTCTTTGATTTCCCTCTTTTTTTTTAGTCAAACGAACAGACCCTTAGACAAAACTCAGTCCAATAAATCCAAAAAATATACCAAAAAAGGAAAGTGTTTAATGGGCCGGTACCTAACAAAAGTAGGAAGACGCTGGCGCTACAAAACAGGACGAACTCGGCCCAAAAGGATAAGGATTATTAAGAAACAGCCCCTTCTCAAGTCAAAAACCTCTACCCCATAACTAACCCCCGCACACCGATACCAGGCCCCAAACTCCCAACCTATTTAAAACCCTAATCAAACCTCAAATCAAAACCTCAATCAGTCCGCAAAGTTAGGGTTTTTTTTTCCTCTAGGGTTCAGAAAATCGAGAAGAAGGAGATGATACTGGTGGCGGTGGTGGCGGAGCTGCTGGAGGAGTACACGGCGCTGGTGGCGAGAGTCCTCGAGCAGCTGCTCAACGAAGCGCCGTTCCCGCGTCGGATGCGGTTCTTGATGCTGCGGAGCCTCCCCTTCGCTTCCCCGGCGCGGTGCCGGTGGCGGCGATGAGGTCGTGATTTAGGGTTTTGGTGTTGAGATTTTTTTTTGTTTGTTTTTTGGTTTTGGTTTGGTTGTTTGTTTTGGGGGAGGTCTTGTAATTTTTGGGTGGTGGAGTCTGTAATTATTTGTTTTGGTGAGGGTGTGGTTCGCGTTTATTTTTAGATGTGGATTAATTGCTTTGTTTATTAATTTTGTTAATCTTGGATGCGGAGTGTAAATATGCAGCTCCAAGTTTGAGATTAAGATTTTCCTTGTGCTGTTAATCATAATTAATAGTTGGAAACCCCCCACCTAAAGTTTTTTTTTTTTTTGGCTCTATATAATTATAGCGCGTCTTTTCTCGTCGTGGGCTAGTGAATTTGGGATTTATTATATTATATACTAATCCGAATGTTTAAAAAAAGACAAAATAAAAGCATTTATATGGAGATAAAAGTTGCAATTTTCTACCGGTAAAGCATAATCTAATTGCTCGTCGAATGTCGCTAGATCCGCATTGTATAGCTTGTGGTGAGGTTGGGGAAGATCAATATCATGCTTTGTTCTCATGCAAAATAGCAAGAAATGTCCTCGCTATGTGACTATGAAAGGTAACCTCGATTTTTGGATCGGATGCGGTCGGTGACGGAGGCAACGAGACTAGAGAACTTAGAATGGTTTTTGTGTGGCTGTATGGATCCTATGGAATGATAGAAACCGAGGCGTTATGGGGAAGGATAGAAGGGACGGGTCAATAGTTACGAGAGAAGTGAGATATACAGAGTCTTTTATAGCAAATATTGAAGCTAAAGGCCATGTTCACGCACTGACAGCGAACTCAAGACGGTCTCCTCCTCCTATTGGTTTGTACGAAATTAATGTGGATGGAGCGTAGGAGGCTTAGGATATGTAGTGAGGGATGTGAATGGTTGTTTCATCGCCTGATTTTCAAAAGGCAATATAAGAGTCGTCGGATTTCCAAAACTCAGTATGGTCTCCATTGACCATTTATACTATTACTAATTTCTCAAGCGGATGATTTCGGAGGAAAGAGACGTTACCTAATTGGGTTCAAACGGTGATTCAGATCCTCTTTAATTTGTTGGTGATTGGAGATGATTCAATTACTCTAATGGTCTAATTATTGTTGTATATTCCAAATTCAATGGATGAGATAAGGCTATGTAGGATTTCACTATAGTTTCGAAAACTACTCTTTTATGAAAACAACTGTCACATATCTATACTACAATATGAAAATTTTGGTGAGGGAAAAATATTTTTTTCCCCTTTCTTTTTTTCCCCTTTTCTCATTTCTAGAACATTCCAAATTATGGTAGGTAAATAGGATTTGAACTCAAATAAGCAAAATTTAATTAATTATGTGAGTTCAAATACTATTTCCATGTCATGATTTGGAATGTTTCGGAAAAAATAAGAAAGAAAGAAAGAAAGAAACTCTCTCTCTTGCAAAGTTGTAACAAGAGAGATGATTATAATGTTATAAGAGAGATAAATATAAAATGATGAGTTTCTTTTTTTAAAAATTAGTTTTAGATATATGTCAATGCAAAATATAACAACTAAAAACTTGATCATGATCAATTTTAAGAGTCCTTTTCCATGCAAAGTGGTAGAAATTTTTGAAACAGCTCCTTATATATATGAGTTGATATTTAATAAAAGAAAATTAACTTTCTCATTCTCCATTAACTTGATTATAAAGTCTCAAATTTGTAAGCACTACATCATCACATCCTAAGAAAAATATATCTTAGAAACCTAGGTGTATTGTTTAGCAAATATAAACATTAGGATATGAAACTTTTAAAAAGATGAAACTTTGGGATTATTTAAATGCAATAAACCATTTTATACAACTTAGAATAAATTTACAGAACGTGTAAAACGTGCAAAAATAAAAGCTTGAGAAGCAAAAATGTGTGCGTGTGCGGTGCGCGTGCGTGGCGTGCGTGCGCGTGTGTGGTAGATATGCAAAGCCCACAAAACTCAAAATACTATTCAAAGCCCAATAAGGAGAGAACCATTATATACCATTTACTATTCATCTCATTTTCCAATGTGAGACTATTCACAAAGGCAAAATTGCCCTTTCATGAACAAAGCTTCCAACAGTTGCACGTGCTTTAATGCTAGTTCTTAGTAGTGGAATTCTACATAGTCTAATCTTGTCATTTGAAGTTAGAATGTATGACAATAATTAGAGGAATTGAAAGCTCTATAGTTATCACCAAATTGAAGAGGATCTGGATACACTTGAATGGACAAACTGACTAAAATCCATGAAGAATTGCAAAGAAACTTTGTCGCTATCCATTAATTTGTTAAATATTCGACCGTGAGCTCAAAAAATAACTATATTGGACCTGCAAAATAGTTTAACGGGAATAAGATAAATTGATACTTTAGAGAGGAAGTTAAGAATTCACCCACAGTTTAAGGATTAGTTAGATATATTTTCCAAAAAATTAATAGTAAATGACCCTTCATCTCGCTCATGATGTTAGAGGTGTTGGGTGCCAACTAAGACTTCGCTTGGATACCATGATGTTTTACTTGTTTCTATTGTATTTTTGTCAAAAACAAAATGAGGTCATAGGGTAGGCTAGTTGAGGTGGGCTGGGAACTTTGGCCCATCCAAAGCTAGGCCATTGCATCATTGTTGAGTTACTTTGCCTTGAGCTGGGCGGTATAGCAATTCTCTCGCTTACTTTCTTTTTTCTTTTTACCTATTCTCTTTCTATTATTGAGAGAAGGAAATTTTGGCTTTCGAGAAATAGCCCTCCTGAAGCTTGAGGAGTCAAAAAAATTGCACCCACTAAATATATCTGCAACAATAGAACTACATGTTGTCTGTCCGCAATCGGGCAATAGTACAAGGAATATATCCGCAGTTATCTCCAAAAAGTCTTGTAGAAACTTGGAACCAATTACAAATAGGGTGGTCTAATGTGAAAAAGTTTAAAGTATTTGTAAACTTAATATTAGTTGTATTGCTTTTATACTAATATGACAGAGTATAGCATACTTTTTGTAATATATCTGCAATATCTTTTGGTAATCCTAAGTTGCGTATTGATTAAGCATAATATTAGTTGTATTGCTTTTATACTAATATGACAGAGTATAGCATACTTTTTGTACTACTTAAATGCTAAATAAATATTTATTAGAATGATAAGATATCTTTAAAATGATTAGTAATTTAGGGTTATTTACATTTTGCTACCTCAAAGTTTACACAATATTTAACTTTGAAAATGTGTATAAAATTAAGGGCATCAAAGTTAAAGTATTTGTAAACTTAAGTGTGTCTAAGTTAAAAATACGTAAACATATCGCAGTTCAAAAAGTGTAACTTTTGATATTTGAAAGTGTCAGAAGAAAAAAGCTCTAGGGTATCAAAGTGTCCAAAAGAAAAAAAAACTTTAGGCCCAGTTTGGCTGAGGATTAAGAAAGAAGGATTAAGGAGAATGATTAATGTAGTTAGCCTACTCGATAACTCGAATGACTAAATGATTAATCCGTTAAGTAAGTTTTATTTTAGCAATTACAATCAATTTTAATGTTTGGGGATAACTAGAATTTTGACTATTTTTTTTAATAAATAGAGAGGTTAACTCTTAATCTATTTTAAATAGAAGTGTTAGTAAACCCATCATTTTGAGGGGTTAACTCATTTAATCTCTCTAGAGAGGCTAGTTTAACCCTTACGAATATTTTTCATTTGACAAATTATAGAGAGTTAGCTCACTTTTAACGTTTGTATAAATTTTTTGTGTTTGGCGGGTCAAGAAAATATTTAGTCTCATTAACCACACACTTAACCCGTTGCCCAACGGCTTCTTAAAGAGAAGGATTAATGTACTTAGCTCATTCGATAATCCGAAAGACTAAATTATTAACCCGTTAAATAAGTTTTATTTTAGCCCTTGTGATCAGTTTTAATGTTTGGGAATAACAATGATTTTGACTATTTTCTTTATAATTAGAATGGTTAACTATTTAACCTTCTAAATAGGAGTATTAGTAAAACCCATCATTTTGAAGGGCTAACTCATTTTAATCCCTCTAGAGAGGTTAGCTTAACCCTTCTATATTTTTTATGTTTGCCAAATTATGGAGGGTTAACTCATTTTAACCATTGTATAGATTTTTTTTGTGGTTGACGGATTAAGAAAGGGTTAAATCTCCTTAACCCCTCACTTAACCATTTGCCAAACGGTATCTTAGGTTATAAGAATTAAGTGAAGATGTAAACTTCGGGATACCAAAGTGCAAAATAACCCAAATATTTATTCATCGCTCTCGTTGTCTAAATAATCCTTCAAGATAACGTAACGAAAGTTCACCATCTTCACTTGAGCACGAGAATAAAGATTACGCGATCTTCATCTTCCGAACTTTGTTCCTCTACGTTGGGAAAAAGCAATTCCCAATGATAAACGACCTCCTCTCCCTATTCTCTCTCTTCATTAAAGAGCTAGGGCTTTAAAGAAATTTAACAAAAAAAAAAAAAAATCAAGGAAAAAGTAATGGAGATCCTCTCCAGCCTTGAACCCTGCAGCCCTCTCCCTTTCACGCGTCCAAAACCCACCTCTTTTTGTGCAATCCCTTCAAAAAACAGCGGTAAACTCCCCCCTCTCTCAACCCTTTTCGTTATTTGATCCTTCCTTTCGAATCGTAACGAAAAAGATTGCATTTTGCCAGTGATTTTCTGTAGGTTTTCAAGAATCCAAACTGACCCTAATCTCAATTTGAGACGCTCGATTAACGTCCAGAAACAGCAGATGGTTCGGAGGAATTTCGTCGTGAGATCGGAAATCGCTGCGACGGGCTCCCCTGAAAGCGTGCCGTATCCAATAAAAGGTCCTAAATCGGAAGCCCATTTCTTGAAATCTTTCGATATCGTTCAATTTCATAGTTTTACAGTATAATTTTTGGTATGTGATATCCAGAGTTTCAATTGGGTTCGAAACTCAGGGCGATTTGCTTCTATACTGTGACCGCAACCACTGCAATCCCTTTGTTTATGCTGATGGCTTTGGTGCACCCTATTGTGATGCTTTTCGATCGATATCGGAGAAGAGCTCATCATTTGATTGCTAAGGTTTGGGCTTCGGTCTCGATTGCGCCATTTTATAGATTTGAGATGGAGGGTTTGGAGAATTTGCCTTGTTGGGACGTTCCTGCTGTTTATGTGTCGAATCATCAGAGTTTTTTGGATACATATACACTTTTGACACTTGGGAGGAACTTCAAGTTTATTAGCAAGACGAGCATTTTTGTTATTCCGATTGTTGGATGGGCAATGTTTCTTATGGGATTGATTCCTTTGAGGAGGATGGATAGTAGGAGTCAGTTGGTAATATTTCTTCTTGCTTGTTATATTTGTGAATTTTGAACATATATTCCAATAGACTGCACTGCCAAGTCATTAAGTTCGAAAGTATTCTTAATTTGAACATAAAGATATTAAGTTCATAGTTCTTCCGTTGTTTGAGGCCTTTTTTCAAGGGTTGAGTGATTGGTTTATATAGATTCGATAGTTATTGAAACTTAACCTAAGCTTTACGTAATAGTTTTTTACCTTAGCTTAAGCTTCAATGCTTTCGTGTTTTGCCAAGTCATTGAGTTTGAAAGCATCCTTAATTTGAACACAAAGGTACCGAGTTCAAAGTTCTTCAATTGTTAAATTCTCCCGAGGCCTTTTTAAGAGTGTTGAGTGATTGGTTTATAGATATGTTAGATTATTGTTGAAACCTAACCTAAGCTTTTGTAGTTAATGAATCTTAACCTAATCTCTATGTGCTTTTGGTTTATGTCTATTTGGGACAATAGGACTTGAGTTTTCTTATTTGTGCTGATTTGAGGTTTGA